GACTCTGTCTCAAAAAACAAAACAAAACAAAAAGGGAAAATGATCTCTAGCGTTGGGAGTCACAGAGAAAGCCTGACTCTGGGTCCCGGGCTCCTCCTCTCCTAGTGGCTGCCTGTCTCCTTCAAGTCACCCAGACCCTGAAGGAGGGGGCCCATCCAGAGGAGAAGAGGCACAAAGGCTGAGGACCTGGATATGGGGAACAGGAGGTCTCTGGGTCCCTTCCTGGGCATGAGCTCCCAGAGGCCACTGCTGTTGGCCCAAAGACCAAAACACTGCAGCTGCTCAGTGGTCTCCCTAGGCTCCGCCCTCAGAATCCCCCTTTCCCACAGCACAGCCCATCTCTGCTGGCCTCCCCTCACCCACCCCACACCTCGGCCTGCTGCCTGATCTCTGCTCTTCTACAAAGCACCTCTGCCTTCTCCAGAGTTTTCCTATCCACGTTCCCAGGTCTGTAGCGGCATTAGCAAGAGGAAACCCAATTACATTCCAATTACTCTAGTCCTAGCCAGACAGAGGTTACTGTAAGTCACAGCAGGATTGGGAAGGAGGAGGAGGTAGCACCTGGGGCCAGTGCCTAGGGTGACACTTGAAGATGGATATGACAGGGACCTGTGGCTCAGAGGCTCAGGATTAGATCAACAAGGCTGGGGCTGGCTGGTTCCAGGAAAGAGGTCGTGTGGGCCCCTGTTGACAGACAGCTCAAGCACAGCAAAGCCTTGAGGCCAGTCCTCCCTGGGCAGAGGAGGCGCCAGGGCTGGGAGCCCAGCCTGGACATGGAGGACCTGAGGTCCCTGTGGCCCTCCCTTAGACATGGGCATTTTGCCGGAGTTCCCAGAGCCCAGTGCTGTTGTGCTGAGGACCAAAATCCGGCAGCTTCTTGTAGGTCTTCTAGAGCACTGCTGGTTCCCACTGCCCCGCCCCCAGGATTTTCTCTGAGCATACACCCACTCTCTCTCATGCCCATCTAGGCCAAATAACTGGTCTCTCCCACCCTTAGGCTGTGGCAAAATAGGCCAGATTCAGGACCAGAGGGGCTGCGAGGCCTAGTGCCTCCAGGCCACAGCCCTGGCTCCTCCTGCTGACTTGAAAATGCCTGGCCAGGGTCTGCTAGGGGAGACAGGGAGATCTGCTGCTTGTGATGGCAGGAATCTCTCAGGATCCCTTGACCTGGGGAGCAGCCATCTTCGGGGTACCAAGGGATAAAGGGTGGGGGAAGGTTAGCAATTGAGATCCCTCTTAAGTGGAGATGGGACTGACTCTGTGAAATTGTATACTGGGGGGAATTCCCAGCTATGATTTCCTCCCTACATAGACATGCGCCACCCTGTATCATGACTTGGGGGAACCTGGCGAGCCCCTTGCCCACTCCAACCTGTGGTATCTGCGAAGCCCTGAAATATGGAGATCTGCACTCTGGGCTAGGTTCTAAGCCTGGGCTGTGCTGGGCTTGGCCGGTGCCTACCGCCCACACAGAAAAACATGAATCTGTACCTTCCACACCGCTGGCTGCACCTTGTTTGCCGCAGCTGTCATTGGAGTGTCCCCACATGATCTGACTCCCATCCCCCCCACGTGCTACAGCCCCCTCTTCAGCCCCTACATAGCAAACAGTCACAGCTCCAGGTTAGGGGGAGAATGTGGGGGGATAAGATGAGTCACTGCTGTAAGAACAGATGTACCAAGTTCCACATACGCACACTCACATAGCCTTGCACACAAAGGCATGGCCACACTCACATTCCCTCACTCACAGGGAAACACACTGGGGGGCCAGTGCTAGTCAAAGCCACAGTTGAACATTCAGATCCACACTGAGAAACAGACATCTCCTCACACATACACATTCCTCACAGACACCAAAACACAGAGACAGATCAAGACCCAGACAGACACATCCCACCCAGGGTGACCTCCAGTCATCAACCCAGAGCCCATCCCCTGCTCATATGCACAGTCAGACACAAACACACTGGATTCCCTAGACACACACCACTGCCCTTACTTGAATTCAAGACTCAAACACAAACACACACGCATGCATACATATGCAGACATGCACGCACCCACCCCCCCCCCCACACACACACACATACACCCGCCCCTCTTCTGAGTCTCTTCACTCATTCTCCTACCTTGGCCAGCACCTAGGGCAGGCAGGATATCACCCACCATGCAGATGCCATACCTGCCCAAGGACAAAGTTCTGCCTTGAGTTTAGCTTCAGTCCATCCTCCTGTTCTGCAGAGGTGAAGGTCACTGGCCCCCTCCCTTAGGCTGCTCCAGTTCCTCTCCCACACCTCTTATGCCTAACAGTGCGTCCCCAGAGCCTTTGAAAAGGGCTTTGGCTGCAACGGGAAAGATGGTGGTTACATCCCAGGAGTCACCTCCCAGGACGGAAAGAGTGTGAGTTTCAGAGGGTGACGTGTTAGGAAGGTCCTATCCTGAGGTAAGGGATGGCCAAGGTGACTGCATGATGCTCAGGCAGTCACCCTTCACCTACCTGTGATTTCCAGAATCCCCAACCTTCAAACCTTTGCACCTGCTGTTTCCTGACCTTGAATACCTTCCTCAAATACCACGATACCCCTTGCAGGGCTACCTTCTTATTCTTCAGGTCTCCATGGAGATGCCCCTGCTCCAGGAAGCCTGTTCTCATGCCCTGGCTGAGTCGGTCTGTCCTCCCGTGCCCCACAGTTCCCAGGGCCCTCACACTCTCCTCACACCACAGGTTAATTGCCTGGGTGTACACCTGCCTCCCCCAGCAGCCAGAGGGAGGGAGGGAGCCAGCAGGTGAGGGAGCCTCTGTCTGGTGAGAGAGGCTCATAGGCCTGAGAGGAGCAGAGGCTTGAAGCCCCGCTCTGCCTCTGCTGTGCGACCTTGGGCAAGTCATTGCCCCATGTGGGTCCAGTGTCCTCATCTCTAAAATGGGGACAATAACGACCACCTCACCAGGCTAATATGAAGATTAAATGAGATCAGGCATCATGTGCATTATACAAATGGTAGCTGTATTATTATAACTCATTGCCTGGCACACAGCTTAATAAATCGGTATTTGTGGAATTAACGAACCCCCACTTCTGTCCCCATCAGTGTCCTTGTTTTTTGGGGGCAACAGTAGGTATAACAAAAAGAAGAATTGGGGGCAGATAGGATGGGGGATTGGGAGATGGGAGAGAAGGGCTCTCTGGCATCGTTGGGAGCTAGCTGTTCCAGCAGCATCTGGAGCTGGGCTGGAGGCGGTGCAGGCGTCCTCTCTGTCTCATCCCTGTGACCCACCTGTGCCATCCTCCTCCTCAGTTATGTCAGGCAGCAAGGAGAGGCGCGGCTGGGCTCTACCTCTGCACTGTGGCCCTCCGAAGCTGCCAGGCCCGCCGGCACACACTAAGTGCGCCCAGAATGCGGGGTGGCCAGGGGCATAAATGTTGAATGAATGAGGATGGAATGAATGAACGGATGGACGCATGAATGGAGGTGGGATGGAAGCGTGAAGTGGGAGATGAGAAGAAACGAGCGCCTCCCTCCGCCCTGCGGGTCTCGGGGCTGGAAGCCACGGAGCCAAGACCGTCTGGGGGCTCCCACCCCGCCCTGCCCCTCCCGCCGGCCCTCCCTTCCCGCAGCGCGCAGCCCGGCGGAGCCCGCGCCGAACCACAGCCCGCGCAGTTGCCGGGGCTCGCGCTCAGCCCCGCGAGCCCAGGCAGCGCAGCCTAGGGAGGGGGCTGCCCCGGCCCCCTCCCGCAGCCCCGGCCCCCAGAGGCTCGGCCTTCCTCGTAGGAAGGCGAAGTCCCCGATGCCAGGTCCGGGTACCAGCAGCCGAGAACACCCGGGTCCCGGAGCCAACAGGTGCGGGGTATGGGGGACCCCCAGGCCCAGGATGGGGGTTCCAAAGGACCCGCGGCGAGGGATGGGAGGAGCCAAGAGTCTCGGGGGGTAACCTGGGTGCTGGGAGACTGGCTCCCCGGCCAGCGCTGCTCTCCTCCAGGCAGGCTCCGAGTGCCCTCGCTCCCCGCGCCTTCCAGGAGTCCCCCGCAGCCCCCGAAGTGCAGGAAGGTCCCGTGGACGGGGCGGGCTTGCTGGCGTTCAGTGGGGTATGAAGGCGTCCCCTCCCCCTCCCCAGGGGTCTCCAGGGATCCGCAACCCTCCGGCACCCGGCCGGGGTCGTCTTAGCCCAGCAGGGGGAAGGAGGGGCTGAGTGCGGGAGGAGGGAGGGGCGGGGAGCTGGGCTGGCTGGATTTATGAATGGAGAGCGGCCCGCGCGCCGGAACAGCGGCTCCTGGCGGCCGTCGGGGAGCGTCGCGGCCCTGGGGACCCAAAGGGGGCTTCTTAGCGGGCCCGGACGCTCCCCTTGCTCCCAAGGGGTCGTCAGTCCCTCCGCGCACCACCCACATTGTGCGTGTGTTGTATGTGTGCGTGTGCGCGCGTGCCCACCGGAGGGTCTGGCAGGTATGGCGGGTGGGGCTTGGGTCTCTTAACACCTCCTTTGGCCCGTTTGCCCAACCCAAAGTTAAAGCTTGTGAACTGGCTCAAGAAATATTTGCAATCGGGATGGCTTATCCTCTCAAATCTATGGTGTTTGATGGGTTCGAACAGACCTGGCTTAGGAGCTTTGTGACCTTGAGCAAGAGACTCAATCTCACTGAGCTTCCCTTTCATCTGCAAAGCAGGGTACCCTAATAATGGTAACCCGAAACGTCCCCTAAACTACCTTCTTGTACCAGGTTCTTGGTGAAGCACTTGGCATGCATCGGAGCTCATTCCTCCTCATCGCGGCCCTGTAAGGTAGGTAGGGCTGTCACCCCATTAGACAGATGGGGAAACCGAGGCTGAAAGAGGCCAGGTAAGCTACCCAAGGCAACTGGTGTGGAATTGGGATGCAACTCAGGTCTGTCTTCTTCCACCAATTTCATGACTGTGAGAATTAAGAGGGAACTTATATGCAAAGCACCTGGCACACTCCCTAATTTCCTTCCTTCTCTCTTTCTCCACTCTCTCCTTTCCTTCCTCCCTTCAGGAAGTTTGGGGCTGAGATCCAAAAAGAACTGGGTGCAAGCCTCCAGGCACCCTGAGGGGAGTGGGCTGAGGGCTGGCCCAAGTTCCCTCCTCCCCCTCTGCAGAGCCTAGGATGCCCCTCCGCCGCAGCAGCTCCTGAGCTCATGGAGCCCTCAGCCACCCCAGGGGCCCAGATGGGGGTCCCCACTGGCAGCAGGGAGCCATCCCCTGTGCCTCCAGACTATGAAGACGAGTTTCTCCGCTATCTGTGGCGTGATTATCTGTACCCAAAACAGTACGAGTGGGTCCTCATCGCAGCCTATGTGGCTGTGTTCCTCGTGGCCCTGGTGGGCAACACGCTGGGTAGGTCCAGGGCTTGCCCTTCAGTGCTGCTGGCTTTCCCTGGGGATTGAAGGGGGGGGTATGTGGGGAGGGGCTCGCTGATTGGGCAGAACTAGGATGGGTGTGGCTCTGCCATCAGCTTCACCTCACCCCGCTGCACCCTGCAGTCTGCCTGGCCGTGTGGCGGAACCACCACATGAGGACGGTCACCAACTACTTCATCGTCAACCTGTCCCTTGCTGACGTTCTGGTGACTGCCATCTGCCTGCCAGTCAGCCTGCTGGTGGACATCACTGAGTCCTGGCTGTTCGGCCATGCCCTCTGCAAGGTCATCCCCTATCTACAGGTGAGCTCTGCCCAGGCACCCTTCACCACTCCTTGTCACACCTGTACAAAAACGATGGCCTTGCATAGGTCTCAGTGACCCTCAGACTTGCCTTTCAGACAGGTCAGTGGCTCGTGACCCCTGAAGTGTCATCCTCTGCTGCTAGCAAGGGCAAGCCACCAGATCAGACACTCCAGGACACAGACACAACCCCACACAATCACAGAGATCCCCTCCTGGTCACAGCCACAGACACATACATAGGCACGTCTGGACACAGAGTCACCTCCAAGTACACAGGCACACAGTCAAGGAAAGAGGCATCAGCCCACAGTGACACATACACAACACCCTGGGCCTGCTCCCCAATCCCAAAGGGGCAGACGTGAGAAGCCTGATGGAAACAGCCTTCTCTTCTCCCTCCTGCACTGGCCAGGAAAGACCCCAGTGGCGGAAACCAGGATGTCCAGATGGGGTTAGTGGGGTGGAAGAAGGCTTCTCTCAGTTTGTATCCTGTGATCCACTTCCTGCACCCCAGAGGGCAGGGGGTACCCCTAGAGGCAATGCCTACACACCTGTGGCCCAGACTCATCTCTGTCTCCCAGAATGAGGGTTTTTTCCTAACAGCCTGGGGTAGGGATTGCATTCCATGGCAGAGATAAATGCCTCTTGGATTTCCCAGTTTTGAGGCTTCCTACTCAACCGGTTAACTCTGGTGACCCTGAGCATAAAGACAGATGGATGAGGGAATTCTGTGCCTGTTTCCTCATCTGTAACAGGGGGGCAAGAGCACTTACTTTGTGGGATTGCCATGAGGATGAAGAGAACAGTGCCCAGCACACATTAAGTTACATAGGTACAAGTTATTATTCACCGGAGGGGTGCACCTACCATGTGCCAGCTCTGAACCTGGACATTGTTTACACATGATTTCACTTATTCTTACAAGAATCCTGCCAGGTAGATGGTATAAACCCATTCTGTAGACGAGGCTCAGAGAGGGTGAGTGACTTGCCCACATTTACACAGCCAGTAAGTGGTGGAGTCAGGATTTGCACTGCCCTGCACCTGCCGTCAGCCTCCTCACTCACCTACTCTCACATTTCTGGGTGGCCCCCAAAATGACTGACATTGTGTCCCCGTGGGGCAGGCCGTGTCCGTGTCAGTGGCAGTGCTGACTCTCAGCTTCATCGCCCTGGACCGCTGGTATGCCATCTGCCACCCACTATTGTTCAAGAGCACAGCCCGGCGGGCCCGTGGCTCCATCCTGGGCATCTGGGCTGTGTCGCTGACTGTCATGGTGCCCCAGGCTGCAGTCATGGAATGCAGCAGTGTGCTGCCTGAGCTAGCCAACCGCACACGGCTCTTCTCGGTCTGTGATGAACGCTGGGCAGGTAATGGTGGAAGCCTCAAGCAGGCATCCCCTCAGGTGGGCACTTCGGGAGCACATACCCCAAGGGCAAGCATCTAGCAGGGTCCCTTCCAAAGTTGGAAATCCCAGGGCAGGTATTTCCCCAGGGGACACCCTAGAGTGGCTCCTACCAGGGATACTCCCAGGGTGGGTGCCTCTCATGCAGATATCTGCTCTAGTGTAGACGTCCTTCCAGGAGGGATACCCCAAGTTGGACAACTCCAGGGTCTCTGTCATGGTGGCTGTATGGGGTCCAGTTGCTCCTAGGCCTTGCTTTGACCCTAGTCAGGACAGGGTGGCATTGCTAACCAGGGAAGGGTGGGGCTCGCGGATTGGGCCTGACTCTGCATCTCTTGACCCCTGCAGATGACCTATATCCCAAGATCTACCACAGTTGCTTCTTCATTGTCACCTACCTGGCCCCACTGGGCCTCATGGCCATGGCCTATTTCCAGATATTCCGCAAGCTCTGGGGCCGCCAGGTGAGGCCCACTCTGGTGTCACTGTGTGGGCTGAGGGTGGGGGTGCTACTGGTCTAACTGAGTAGACAGTCCTCTGCCATCAGCACGTGCCATCTTGGCTGCAACCAAAGAGAGGGGAAGCCCAGAGACACGTCAAACTCAAGGCCAAAAGCACCAGTGGCTACCCTGGAATGGAATAGTAACACATCCTTCTAATATTAGTGGCTGCCGTCTATTGAAGTATCTACTCCCGGATAGTCTTGCATCCTCTTAGCCACCATATATTACCCACATTAAATATATGAGAAGACCGAGACCCAGAGATCAACATCACTGCCCCCAAACCACTCAGCCAGTGAGTAGATCAGGAACTAAAGCCCAGATCCGTGAGCTTCCACTGCTGAGTTTAGTACCACTGCAACAATAATAATAGCAACTCCGTGTTGCTTGCCAAATTAGGCACTTTGCATCCAGTGTCTTAACAACTTCTAACAAAAGAAGCAACGTTACCCACGTCACAAATGCCAAATGAGGGCAACCAACTTGCCAGATTCAACAGCAGCAGAGCCTTCTGGTTCCAGGGCCTGTCTTCTTTCCTGCATTACAGACTGACCCTCAGTGGGTTTCCTAGGTTTTTTTGGGGCAGGGGTGCTCAGAGGCCCTTGGCCTAGTGAGTAGGAGTCCTGGACTGGTGTCTGGGCGGTGAGAAAAGGCAGGCCAGAACATGACCAGGCTCAGGAAGGGACTCTCACACCTGGGGACATCACCTACATTCCACAGGAAGTACTGGCTTGCGCCCAGGCCATGCCGGGCAGTGGGTGGGGACACGGACTGGCTGTGACCCAGGTCCTGCCTTGGAGGAGCACCCAATCCAGTAGGGCCCTTCCTGGCTGGCCAGCCCTGCAGTCCACCAACACTCATCACCTGCTCCCCACCTGCTAACCCCCAGCCAAGCAGGACACAGGCACGATCCTCCTCATTTGACAGACATGAAAGCAAGGCTTAGAAAGGAAAATGAAGTGGCCAAGGTCACATAGCTCACAAATGTCTGAGCTGGCTCTACACCCACGTTTCCAGAACTCTAGCCCCATGCCCCTCTGTGGTGGGTGATTCGAGTGTCCGGTGGCAGGAGAGGCTTCTCTAGGAGCCCAGAACCACTCCAGGCTTATAGGCACTGGTCCAGGCCATTCCATGCTGCCCACCTGCCCACCCCTTGCCCAGAGCTCCTCACAGCCTGGTATGACCCAGAGGAGGCACAACTCACCCCCACCCCTACTCTCAAAGATAGTGTTGGAGATTTAGGGAGGATGGATGGGCAGCTGAGAGGATGTGGCCTGGGGCCTTGTCAAGGGTCCCCACCTCTTTTGAGTCTTAGTTGCCTCATCTATCCCTAAGGACCAATAATATCTTTCCACAAGGCATGTTGTAGGGGGTTTCACAAAGAGCTAATGGAAAATGAAAGTCTAGGCTGGGCACAGTGGTTCACACCTGTAATCCCAGCACTTTGGGAGGCTGAGGCGGGCGGATCACCTGAGGTCAGGAGTTCAAGACCAGCCTGGCCAACGTGGTGAAACCCCGTTTCTACTAAAAATACAAAAATTAGCCCGGTGTGGTGGCACACACCTGTAACTCCAGCTACTCGGGAGGCTAAGGTTGAAGACAGCCAAGATCGCACCATTGCACTCTAGCCTGGGTGACAAGAGTGAAACGCCATCTCAAAAAAAAAAAAGAAAAGAAAATGAAAGTCTATCATTCACTCTCAAGTCCAGAGTGTTAGTCTTTATCATAAACATCAGATTCCTTCCTCTCACAAAAGTTTTATCCCTTTGCCCATGTCCACCCTGCCCAGGGTCCAGCCTGGAGTGGGCCCCACAAAAGGCAACCACCCTCCCAAGGTGCTATACCCACTGCTGCTGTCTCTATGTGTGCTGGACAGATTCCTGGCACCACCTCAGCACTGGTGCGAAACTGGAAGCGCCCCTCAGACCAGCTGGGGGACCTGGAGCAGGGCCTGAGTGGACAGCCCCAGCCCCGGGCCCGCGCCTTCCTGGCTGAAGTGAAGCAGATGCGTGCGCGGAGGAAGACAGCCAAGATGCTGATGGTGGTGCTGCTGGTCTTTGCCCTCTGCTACCTGCCCATCAGTGTCCTCAATGTCCTTAAGAGGTGAGAGCCTGGGGTATGGTTGGGGTGGGGAGAAGTTTGAGGTTGGGGAAGGAGCTCTCCTTGCTTGAGAGAAAGACCTGGCTCCACCCCTTCTCCACTATGTGACCTTGGGCAGGCCATTTCTCTTCTCTGAGCCTCTGTCTCCTAGGGCTATTGTGAAAATTTATTCACTTAATCATCACATTTTAGGGGGTTGGAAATACAGTGAACAAGTGCACAAGACAGACAAAGTCCCTGCCTTCATGGAGGCTGCATTCTAGCAGGAGAGAAGGGAAGTAAATAGAAAAATCAATGTATATTATAATGTCAGGAAATGACAACTGCTGGGAAGAAAAATAAAATAGGACAGAGAGTGACAATGACAAGGGTTGGTGGGTTTTTGCTTTTGCTTTAGATATATTGGTTTAAAAAAAGCAGGGAGCCAGGTGCAGTGGCTCACGTCTGTAATCCCAACATGTTGGGAGGCCAAGGAGGGAGGATCGCTTGAGGCCAGGAGTTCAAGATCAGCCCGAACAATATAATGAGACTTCATCTCTACTAAAATTCAAAAAATTAGCCGGGCATGGTGGCATATGCCTGTAGTTCTAGCTACACAGACTGAGGTGGGAGAATAGCCTGAGTCCAGGAGGTTGAGGCTGCAGTGAGCCATGATTGCACCACTGCACTCTAGCCTGAGTGACAGAGCTGTCTCAAAAAAAGAAAAAAAAAAAAAAAGCCTTTCCAAGGAAATGACATTTGAGCAGAGATTTGAAGGAAGTGAGAGAGCTAACCATGCATGTGTCTGGAGGGACAGCAAAAGAGGGTCACAGGGCGCCGGGGAGAGAATGCAGGCTATTGGACAGAAGACAGTCTCACTTTGAGACTGTGCTTGGCCACCTCCTGGTTGTGTGATCTTCGGCATGTCACTTTACTTCTCTGAGCCTCAGTTTCCCTAATAGAAAAATGGATGATGTCTATGACTCATCATGTTGCTGTGAGGATGGATGAGAAAGTGGATGGGAAGCCCTAGGGGATCCGATGGCCAGGAGGCTAGAGATGCCCATCGCGGTGCTTGATACCCTCCATGCTTGAGAACCCCAAACCCTGGCCAAGACCTCAGGTACAGAAGGCAGGAAATGTAGACGGAAGTGGGCAGCAGGAACTCTTGCCCTTTACAGCTCAGGTTCTGTGAGCAGCACTCCCCCAATACACACACACAGCTACTCCATTTCTGACGCTCCTCCACCCTGGGCCTAGGGTGTTCGGGATGTTCCGCCAAGCCAGTGACCGCGAAGCTGTCTACGCCTGCTTCACCTTCTCCCACTGGCTGGTATACGCCAACAGTGCTGCCAACCCCATCATCTACAACTTCCTCAGTGGTGAGCAGGCTGGGGATGCAAACTCACTGAGGGTGGCCAACAGTCCACATGACAAGTCTCCCCATCCCCAAGCCAGGGCCCAAATAAAGGACGGTGGGTGAGGATGTACCTGCTGTGGGCACAGTGATCCTGCTCTGGGAGGACCCACCCCGAGGAGCCCTGTCCTGAGTGGGAGACGGGCCACACTCCCCACGGTGGCTGGCACCCAGGATCCAGTTGTGCAGATTCTGCAGACCAGTGAGTGAGTGGAAGGGCAGGGGCTAGGTCAGTTCACCCCTGACTCCCACCACGGGTGCCGGCACAGCAAGACCTCCAATCAGCACAGGCAGAGGAGTCCACCCTCCCCAGAGGGAGTCAGACCTGTGGGAGGAGGGCCCTGGAGCCCCTGCCTGAGGAAGGATTGCACAGTCCAGGTGTCAGGGCTAAAGGAGGGTCACTGGCAGAGATAGGCCAGGCCCAGGAAAGGGCTTCCCCCACTCAGCTAGATACACTGGCAGAGCGACCAGAATTTCAGGGGTTGGCCCCTCTGGAAGTCTTCCTCCCCTGCCGCTCCCACTCCCACTCCAGGCCTCTCCTCTCTGCTGTCCCAGTGCCCACTCCCTCCCTCCACCTCCCAGTCTCAGGGTGGTAATGGCCCTGAGGCTGAGCTCAGCAGAGTGTGACTCACCAGCCCTCTGACTTTGGGACTAGACTTCTAAAGAACAGGTCCATATGACTGTTCAAGCCTGGACAGAAATAATCTTTGAGGAACTATTAAAAGGTTAAAGAAGGGATCCGTAGTCAATAGTATAACCCTCATTGAGACTCAAGAATTACTCAACAAGGCTGGCTGCGGGTTTCCAGCTCAGAAAAGAGAACAGAAGATGAGCTCTGTGGGGAGGGGAGGGCAGACAGACTTACTGACACATATGCCTTTGTTTGGCCTATGTTTACTGAGCACCTGCTGTGTGCCTGGCCCTGTGCTGGGCACCAGAGAGGCTGGCAGGCTAATGACACATGATCAAAGGGGCTTTAGCCTGACAAAATCTGTTTCCGTGGTATACTTGGGCTGAACAAGGTGGTGTGGCAGTCCCTCCTTCCCTCCTCCCCCTTGAGAAGGGCTTTGGAATTAGAATTGGGTTCAGCTTCTGGCTGGGTGGCCTTGGGCAAGCCACTGTACCTACGTGCATCTCATCTGTGAAGTGAGGATAAAGGACTCCAGTCTTTCAGGGTGCTGGGATGCTTTGGGGAACAGAGGCTGAGGTGCCCAGCACAGCATGACTGCCAAATGCAAAAGGGCTGCTGCTGCCACTGTCATTTTCATCACCAAAGGGCAGAGAGGGCACAAGCCTAGCAACAGATAGTGACCCCCACGTACACACCAACGAGGGCAGAGGTGACCTGAGGCCCCTGAGCCAGACACCATGTTTTGAGCCAGCCTCTGAGCCAGAGCGCAGTCAAGGAATCAGATGGCAACTGCGTCTCTCCTTGGGAACCCGCTCCAGGGCCTCTGTCCTCTCTCCCTGGCGGTGCCGAGGTTGCCTCAGGGCTCTCCCTCCCAGCTCTATCCCTCCCTCCCTCCCCGCCTCCTCACAGGCAGCTTGGCTGGAGCTGCGTGGGTGTCCCTGGGCTCAAGGCCCCTTCCTGCTGCATCTGTCTCCTTATGGCTGTGTCTTTTGTCTCCCAACCAAGGCAAATTCCGGGAGCAGTTTAAGGCTGCCTTCTCCTGCTGCCTGCCTGGCCCGGGTCCCTGCGGCTCTCTGAAGGCCCCTAGTCCCCGCTCCTCTGCCAGCCACAAGTCCTTGTCCTTGCAGAGCCGATGCTCCGTCTCCAAACTCTCTGAGCATGTGGTGCTCACCAGCGTCACCACAGTGCTGCCCTGAGCGAGGGCTGCCCTGGAGGCTCCAGCTCGGGGGATCTGCCCCTACCCCTCATGGAAAGACAGCTGGATGTGGTGAAAGGCTGGGGCTTCAGTCCTGGGTTTCTGCCTGTGTGACTCTGGATAAGTCACTTGCCTTCTCTGAGCTTGTGTCCCCTAAGCAGGGTTGATGTGAGGATTAAGCATGCTGAAGCAAGTGGAAAGCTCCCTGTAAACTGTGAAGTGTTGTGGACACGATTATTGTACTTCTCTCATTTGGCCATACCCCACAGTATAATCTGTCCCCATCATCCTTTCAGAGCTTGGCCATCCTCCTAAAGACCCCTTTCCTACCCAATTACCGGCCTTCCCTAGAGTCTGCCCTAAAGGTCCCAACAGGCATTTCCATCTGGTTCCGTGGCTCCCTGAAGCCCAGGGCTGCGCTTGGCCAGCTCTTCTGATGCCTGTGTGAACTAATCTGGGCCCAGCCTTTCTCCAGTGGGCCACGAGCGCAGCCCCACCCTAACCAGGTGCCAAGGGCACACACCACAGACCTGACCTTGTTGACTTTGTGGTGTGATAAAACACTCTCCATGGCCACTTGGCACAGAGGCCAGCAGCCAGAAGCAACTGTAATTAAAGCCTGGCACTGAATGTTCCCTTTCCTTGTCATTGCACGAAATCTGTGCTGCTGAGGTTAGGAGCAGAAGAAGGTGGGGAAGCTAGGGGGAGGGAAGACAAGAAGGCACTAGAATGCTCTTATCTGCTGACCTCCCACCCTCACGACACGGGATCCAAGATGGACTCAGCCAGGCCTCGGCACACGTGGTGCTGCCTCCTCATGCGGTGCCAATCCTGTGACGCCAGAACCTCGCCCCTCAACACAACTGTCTGCTCACAGGCCCAATGGCCTGAGGAAGGTAAGGGGGGCCAGGTGGGCAGATAGCGGGTTAATGGGCTGATTTACTGTTATCCTCATCTTCTTGGAAACCAAGGCTTGCATCTATTTTCTATGAACTCGCAGGATAGAAAGAGAAAGCCACAGACTTGGCCAGACATGTTCCGTCTGCCACCGAGATGATTTTAAGGCTGCCAAAGGCTCTGAGCCTTGTTGCCAGAGCAGGACGTGGAGTGCAGTCTGAAGTGCTACTCTGCTGAGAGGAACAAGGACATCTGGCAGGGGCCAGCTCTGCTATGCACACCACCAGGTCTGCTTAACTTGATTAATGGAGCTGTGGGCTCCCTCTGACCTCAACCGTCAAGAAGGTGGGCAGAGCCTTGGTGCTGCCAGGGGCCCAGCCCAGGAGTGTTGAAGCACTGCTCATCCTAGGCACCCCGCTTTACCCAGAGCAGGTGGAATGTGTGGCCTAAGTATGCCACCTGCTCTCCACACGACTTACCAGCCCAGCTCTCTGTGGACGGCGCAGAGCTCCAGCTGCTGCCACGATGGGTTCTCCTGCCCATTCCACACTCCCACTGGCCTTAGGCTCCAAAGCGGTTGGCACAGTGCGTAGGCAGGCTTGGAGGTGAGTGTGCAGGATGAGGTGTGACAGCTGGCCCCCAAGCTCAGAACCAACCAACCATGCTCACAAGATCAATCCAGGTCTTGGGCTCCTCAGCCTCAGCTGAGCACAAAGGTGAAAGACTACAATTGGCACCATCGGGTTTCAGCAGACACTTGGTTCAGTGGGAACGAAGAAACACAGGCGCTGCTCCTAATGGCTGCAGTTCTACTCCACACTCTGCTGGCTGAACCCAGCACCATGGGGGGCCTCAGCCCTCCACTCTGGGGGACTCAGATAAACTGAAGAAAATTCAGGGGAGGTGAACAGGATGCCGAGGGGAGAGATGCTCAGCGAGGGGCTGCTCAAGAGCCCGGGGCTATCTGGCCTAGGGAAGCGATGACTTGGGGAAAATGTGGCATATAGGGCAGGCTCCACTATGTAGAGGGTTGGCATGCAGAAAGGGTGATGTATGTCCTGAGTGGCCCACAGAGAAAACCACAGCCAATGGTGGTGTCTTCAAGATGGCAGGATTTAGAATCCACACCAGGAAGTTGTTCTGCCAGTCATGGAGGAAATGGGCTGCCTGGAAAGGCACTGGGTTCTTTGCCTTTGGCGAAGCAGAGGCCAGACTCACATGGGGCCTATGAAGGGAATTATAGCTCTGGATAGGGGCTGGCCTCTGGGAACCGGATTCCATCTAATGCTGGGATTCTAGCACTACAGCAGCCCAGAGGAGAATGCAGCTGACCTGACTAAGCCCGACACACTGCTGGGCCTCACTGACCTGCAAAACAGTCATAGTTACTTCCAACTACCCACTGCAGGGAGGAGAGCCCTGCACAGGGCCTCAGAGCTCTTCATCTCAAAAAGCCAAAAGATAATTACCATTACCCAGAATAAAGCCCCCTGGCAAACTAGAATGTCTGGTGTCTTTGGCTTTTGATTGAAATGTGGTCAGCTCATTACAGACACTCGGTGTAGACTGGGTATTATGCTGATCTAAAGATCTGACTTGCAAGTACAGATGTCTGTGCTTAATAAAAATGGGGGGAAAGTTATGACTTAATAAATGGAGTTTGTCTGGAAGATAAAACTAGGGCCTGAGAAAATAGAAAGGCCAGGCTATGAAGTTTGAGGCAGCTGCTTTCAACCCAGAATGCCTGCCCTAAAACTGCTATGAAATAGCTTCCTGACTAGACCTTCAGGCCATACTGAACTGAACCCGGCAGGGCCCCCAGCTGGCTACCCTACACTTCACTTCCCTCTGGCAGTGGATAGGAGCCCCACATAGGCCATGTCCCCACAAGCTGCTGCTTTCCGCATGGCTTGGTGTATAGGATGTACTTAAATAGTCAGTGAAAGAAGGAGTGGATGGACCTGTAGCTGAGAAATCACGGTGGAAAACATGGAACCCCAGAGTTTCATCCTTTTATTGAAGCTTACAGTTTCCCTGGACTTTTGGCCCCAAATGAAAAAAAATGCAAATTAAAAAAAGTATTGGCAGGGAGAGGTGCCCACTGTCCCCTGGAGACTGAAGCCGAGCAGGGCATGGCAGGCAAGTGAGGGGTCCCAGCCGCGGAGGCAGAGCCTGGCCAGAGGGGCCCAGGGAGCAGATTTGTCTGAGCAGGGCCAGCCCCAGGCAGTTAGAAGTTAACACACAAGGATTTATGGGTGTGGCGGAATCCAAGCCACTGGTCCCATGGGCAGATCTCTCTCATGCTTGGTCAGATTCCACTTTGGAGAAAATGGGCTCGTGTGACAGGATGGCCTGGTGAGGGAACACAGGTAGTAACGATAATGGGCCAATGAACACTCACCACTGGCATCAGGGTGGAGCTCAGTTGACTGGACACTAACTCCATTACAAGAACCTCCTCCTGGTGCCAGGCTGTGCCACTCAACTGCTCATGGCCATCAGGACATTCAACTTCCATCCTCTCCTCCATCAGGCCCCTACCTGTGTGGCCTCAGCCCCAGTCCTTACTATTTGGTGGCTATGATGCAGGACTCTCAACCCTCTTTTGGAACAGTGTTGCATCAAGCAAGGGAGAATGTTCTTCTAAAGGAACAGGAAAAGAAGAGATGTCCACGTACTTCTCTCACTCTAAGAAGCCAGGAAAGGTCCCTGGTGCACTCCACTCTCCACAGATGGGTTGGGTCATAGCATCCGAGAAGCAGTCATGGTGACGAAGTCCTCGAAGCTGAGCCGAATGTTGCCTTGTACAGCTGTGTCCTTCTCCCGGAAGGCCTCTGTCAGCACCTGCAGCTGGGTGCACACCTGGATGAAGCGGTCCAGCTGCATGGCAGGATTGGCAGAGCGTGGGCAGTAGCGGGAGACCAGAAGCTGGGTGAACTGGGGGCTCAGGTTGTAGCCCATTTGGGACAGAGCTGGAGAAGAGGGGCACACAGACCAGACACACAAAAACCTGCCATGAACACCTCCATCAATCAGCAATACTGGATCACAGCAGTTCAAGGAACTTCGAGAGGACAGGCACAGAAGCATAAAGAGGGCAGAGAAATCCCAAGGGTCTAAGATATCAGGAACACAACAGGGGCCCTGTCTGGATGCTACCCTTAGGTGGAAGGCCCTCATCCCTCTTTCTCCCAGTCTCCATTATTGTCTCTTCAACTGAGGCTCATGGGATTCCAGAGATGACAACGGACTATCCACAATCATCTCTGACTCATTTGCATTCCAAAAGGAAGCCTGAGCTCCCAGGACCACCCTGCTTGGGGCAGACATCAGAGGCAGCACAGCAGAGGTATGAGGACCTGCTCTGGAGTCAGCCCCTGGGCAAGTTGCTTAGCCTCACTATCCCTATCTTATCATCTCTAAAACGGGGATAGTACTTAACTTGTAGGTTCTAGCAAGGATTAAAATGGGTGATCATGTAAAGCTACTTAGCACAGTGACTGGCACATAAAAAGCACTCAGTAAGTGCCATTTTAATAAAGTCACCGCCACTCCAAGGTCTCTTGGAGCATCCTGTCTCTTCACTGGTATGCTTGCTTCCTTCCTTCCTCTGTTCATAACTTACCAGGCCAGGCTAAAACCTCAACTCTCCATTTGTTATGCAGGCCCTTAGGCAGGTTACCCACACTAAACCTCAGTTTTCTCACCTGTAAAAGGGAGATAACAAGGGATTCTTAATTGAAGGGTGTGGAATTATAAATAGTACCTAGCACATGGGAAGAATGAATCACATAAGCCTATTAAAAATAGCAAGCATTCAGTAAATATCTGTTTTGCTGTGGTTACTATCACCCTTACTAATATCCATGGCAAAAGCTGGCAAGAGTAGGTCATTACTATAGGCCATCTCCCCTCCCTTCTGCTGGGGGCAGATGTGGTGCACTCACTCCTGCCCACAGACCTCCTTAGTCTGAATAAAATCCGCAGCCTGGGCAAAGGACTAGACTCTCTGGGGAGCCGCTTCTCCCTCCTGGGTGGCAAAGCTCCCTCTTGGGTCCTCCCCCCAACCTCTTACTAACCTGCCTGAGCCCAAACTGTGGCCTCCTGCCTTACAGAGTCAGTTTGGAACCAGACCTGGGGCTGTGGCCTCAGGTCATCTTCCCCAACTGCAACTTTTAGAGTGCTCGGGGTCCCAAAGTTGGGAGAGAAACTGCCCACTAGCAGGGGTGGCAACAGACCCATCTTTCTGAGCCCTGTTCAGGGCTCTTTCCGTTCTACATGCTAGAAACTGGAGAGGAAGGAGTCACCTCAGCCA